TGAGCAGGGAGCCCGATGCGGGACTCGATCCCGGGACTCCAGGATCATGACCTGAGCCGAAGGCAGTCGCTTAACCAACTGAGCCACCCAGGCGCCCTGAGCTATAATTTTAATGCTAATATTAATTCTTCTAGCAAGATGGAGTTGGTTAATATCAAAGAGTAGCAAATGATTTAATACATTAACATTATAAAAATCTTTAATCTTTTATTTCCCTTCTTGAATGCAAATATTTCTAAGTTCTCTAGTGTCCAGGAGAAGTCTTGTCATTGGGTGTTTTAGTCCTAGTGGAAAGGGGGAAAGGGTGCTGTTTTGGCTTTATTTACCTTTGTGTTCCGTAAGGATACTAGATTCCTCAGTGTTGAATACAGGGACATGTGTTGTGCATGTAATGCTTGTCATTTTAATTTGTGAAAAGTTTTTGTCTTAATGATTTTTAAATATCTACTTACCCAGCCAGTGGAAAAGAACTATGCTTTTGAGATACCTGATGTTCCAGAAAAATCTGAGTACTTGGAAGTTAGATACTCGGTAAGTCAAAGAAAATTACTGGGTTTTGGTTGAGCATGACATTTCTCTATTTTTGAAATTTTAACTGGCTTTCAATTAGGAGTATCAGCAGGGCTCCTCAAGCCCACAGTTCATTGAGGTGGACTTACAGTAATGAATAATTAAAATGGATAAAATTAATTTGAATATATAGAATACCAGTTGTACTGCCTTTCTTGGCTTTCAAGTATGCATCTTTAAATAAATAAGTTGAAACTGCACAACTGCTTGTCAAGTGGAATAAATGCCACGTGATGGAGTTGAACATCATTAGTCTGTTGAAGTGTCCCTTCTGAGTAGCAGAAAGGTGAGAGGACCATCAGTAGCGTCGCTGTAGTGCTGCTCTTGCTCCCCTGATAGGCAAGGTCATTGCTACGCGATGTTAATTAACTGGGCCTTAACCTCTTTTTACCTTTGTTAGAGAGTTTTGATCTCACAATGTTGGAAAAGGAAAACTGTTAAGAAATGTTTCTGACAGTGGTGATGAAAAGTACCATAGAAGCATTTTAAATGAGTTCCACTCTTGCTTTTATTCTTCTAATGGAGTGGTACTTATTTGGCTATTCTTTATCAGTAAGGCATGTACAGCTCTGGACAGAAATCCTCTTTTGGGGGAGCTTCTTGGCCTATTTTTCTTCTAATGGATGCCATCAAGATGCATTATTTTGTCATTGTGAATTATTTTTGTGTCCTACTGTGAATTGTTTTGGATTTCATTTGTTGCAAATTACATTTCATATGTATCAAAGGGGTTTCTTCCGGTGGTTTGTAGAGAGGCTTTTGTTTATTTCAAATACAGACTTTGGAAAATGTGAAGTAATAGTTTTAAACAAAAAAGGGTTTTCGTTTTTTTTTTTTCCTCTTTGCCTTTTTCAGGCTGAAATGCCACAGCTTCCTCAGGATTTGAAAGGAGAAACTTTTTCTCATGTATTTGGGACCAACACATCCAGCCTGGAAATGTTCTTGATGAACAGAAAGATCAGAGGACCTTGTTGGCTCGAAGTGAAAAATCCACGTAAGGAAACATTTATGTTTGGAAAGCCAGATTGCTGATAGAGGAGGTTTTTAGAAGTTAAGGAATTGGTCTCTGTATTTCAGTGTGTCTACTTCCTTTTTTATGTTGTTTTCCTCAAGGTGTTCTTGAGTGAGTATAGGGAATATGTTTGGAGCCACTTGATCCCTGTGGTGCCTGGCAGTTTAGTGGGAGGGAGGCCTTCGTGAGCCCAGGTGGTCGTTGGCATGCATCCCTCTTTGTGCTGCTGTTGGCATGTATTTCTGAGCCGGCCGATGACGCCCACCTGCTGTACATAGTGGACTGGTGGCCTCTGAAGGAGGGCAAGCATCAGTGCCAGAGGTGGCGAGTGCTTGTTTGGTTTCTTACCTGATGTTTTCCAGTGTTTGCATCTGTGATGTTTGGCTTCATGAATCTCTTAAAAATGCTTTGTGATTCCTCCAGGGTGTTTTTTTTTTTTTTTTAAAACCTATTTGGGGTCCTGGATTCTTCAGAAAATCCGATGAAAGCTGTGGACCTTTTTCCCAAGAAGATGAACGTGTGTATACACACACACACACACACACGGCTTTGCATACAATCCAGTAATTGGGCTTATTTTTAGTTAGATGTTGTAATAAGACATTCTTATGAGAATATGGCTTTGCAGACTATCTCAGTTAATCACAGATATCTTAATTATAGTAGTTTTCCTTTTTCAGCAATGGCTATTGATGTGTTGTATCTATTCTCTTTCAGAGCTCTTGAATCAGCCATTCAGTTGGTGTAAAGTTGAGGCAATGGCCTTGAAACCAGACCTGGTGAATGTGATTAAAGATGTTGGTCCTCCTCCACTCGTGGTCATGTCTTTCAGCATGAAGACAATGCAGAATGCAAAGACACATCAAAATGAGGTAAAGAAAAAGGGCAGATTTGTGTACCTATGCTTTAGATGCAATGCCTGCTGAACTGTACAACTGTTCTACAAGGGGAAATTGTTCTTTCTGGAGGAGAAAGAATAGTAATGCACTACCAGACTCCATTTTGGAGAATGAATTGAATTTGTTGGATGTTGGAGTTTTTCTTTAAAGACTTAAACTGCTGGACTTATTTTTATTTTTTGTTTTTTGAATTTTTTTATCTTGGCAAACTTTAAGTGGACTTGGAATAATATAATGAACTCCCATATTCCTTTTACTCATATTCAGTAGTTAGTAAGATTTTGGCACACTTGTTTGCCCCCCTCTTTTTTTTTCCTGTTGAAGTATTTTAAAAGCTGAGGTCAGATATTGTATAATTTACCATTGTATACTTTGGTACGCATCTCTCAAAACATGCACACTTTCTTGCACTTAGTAACTGTACTGGTGATACCTTGATACCATCTAAAATACTCAGTCCACATTCACGTGATTCTGTTTATCAAAAATGTCTTTTTATTGAATTATATTTGACATCTCTTAGTTTCATGTGTACCACATAGTGATTTGATGTTCTTATGCATTACAAAATGATCACTGCGATAGGTCTGGCAATCATCTGTCACCATATAAAGTTATTACAATATTACTGACTCAGAAATGTTTTCTACCAGTTGGTTTACTCAAATCAGGGTCCATATAAGATTCACAGATGGTGTTTCATTTTTATGTCTCTTGAATCTCTTTTAAATGGGAGCAGCTCCCTCCCACCGTCTTTTTCCATTGTCATTGATTTATTTAAGAATCATTTTCATTGTCTCATAGAATGTCCCATTTTCTGTGTTTGGTTCCTTGTGTCATTGGACTTCTTCCTCTATACCAGGGGTTGGCACAGTATGGCCTATGGGCAAATCCAGCCGTACCATCTGTTTTTATAAATAAAGTTTAATTGAAAGACATCATGTCTATTCGTTTACATATTATCTGCAGTTGCTGTAGAGTTAGTAGTCATGGCAGGGGCCATGTGACCTGAAAGCCTAAAATACGTAGTATCTGGCTCTTTACAGGACAAGTGTGCTGGCCCCTGCTAGTTAGCACTAAAGAATTGATTAGATTCAGTTTTGACTTTTTGGGTCAGTATACTTTATAGGTGGTGGTATGATGTATTTCATACTGCATTATATATCAGCTGGCGTATAATGTCTGGTTAAACCACTATTAGTGGGGCTATGATTGATTAGTGGCTTCAAGTTTTCAACTAAAGGAGGGTTTTTTAACGATGGCACTACTAATGTTTTGGGCTGAATTATTCAGTGTTGTGAGGGCTGTTCTGGGCATTGCGGGATGTTTAGCAGTAACGCTGGCCACTGCCTGATGCCAGGTAGCACCCCTCCCCCCTACCTGTGACAACCAAAAATGCCTCCACACATTTCCAGGTGTCCTCTTGAGGTGGGGAACAAAATTGTTCCCATTTGAGAACCACTGGTCTAATGACCCCCCCCCCTTATTTTTTACCTGAATTATTTCATTAGGACTTTTAAAACAGTTTTTTAATTCTGTCATCCTTTCCATGTTTGTTAGTTAAACATGTTAAATATTAGAACATTTATTGAATTTTTCTATAAAATTAACTTTTCCTCATTCACCACCACTATTGGTTATGCTGCAGTAGTTCATACAGGAAAGATGAGGTCAGTGTGTACTTCTTTCTCTTTCATTGCCAATTTTCTGAGTAGGAAGTTGGGGGCCTGCATTACGTGCAGTGTTGACCAGTGATTTGTTTATTTTTGTTGTTACTTTTATTTTGCTTCCTCTTTTATGGAATATTATGAACTCACAGGTTTTATATTTACTCATTATGTTTCAGTTCACTGCTGTCATTATTGCTGTTACTTTTGATGCTTAAATTTGTCTTTGGTCAGTGGGAGCGTCTTTATTGTTCGCTTCTAAATCCTTTTGACATTGAAGGGGATGTTTTTTGTTTTTGTTTTTGTTTTTTTTTTTAAAGATTTTATTTATTTATTTGACAGAGAGAGACATAGCGAGAGCAGGAACACAAGCAGGGGGAGTGGGAGAGGGAGAAGCAGGCTTCCCGCAGAGCAGGGAGCCCGATGTGGGACTCGATCCCAGGACCCTGGGATCATGACCTGAGCCGAAGGCAGACGCTTAACGACTGAGCCACCCAGGCGCCCCTGAAGGGGATGTTTTTTAACAACAGCCTTTTGGCATTGTTTTTACTCTGAATTTTTTTTTACTATGTGATTTGATCTTTTAATAATAATTTAGTAGATGGCTGTAGTTAACAGTTAAGTGTTTGGGAAAGGTTTAATTAGTTAAAAAAAAAAATACCCATCCTCTAGCCCCCAGGGTGAGGTTTCTCAATACCATTTCACAATAAAGGAAGTAAGGCTTCATGGAGAAATGGCCGATTTAGGGCAGAAAATGTCCAAGATAAGCCTGAAATACCTAGTTATACTAGAAAACAAGGACGATATTAAAATCTACTGAAGATGTGTCAGAAGGGCCTAGGAGTCAACTTGGAGTTTCCTAATGGCCAAAGATGGGACAATTTGAGTACGGATAAGGATAGCTGCAGCAGATTGCAACACATGAGTTCACACTAATCGTGTAAGCACTAACAACCCTGCATTGGTCATCTGTGAAGGCAGCTAGGGAACCAACTCACTGGTTTGAAAACTGGTAAATAAACGGATTGAATCTAGCATTTCTCTTGATCTTTTTATGAACTCATATTGTACCTCAGGTAACCGAATAATCAATGAAGGGAAGTTTCACTTTATAGAAGGTTTCCATCCAAGAAGTGATGAAGGAAAAATTGAATATTACCACTTTGCAATCCCTAATGATATAGTGGATCGAGCAACCAGTGGTTGCTAATAGCACCAAAAGAGAGCTAACCAGACATGATGTGCCTGTGCCGTCTGATAGAAGTAATCACTAGCACCTCTGGCATACTCATGCCAAAAAACTGAATGTGATTTTGATCAGGCCTTTAGATCTAAATGTGAATTCACCGACAGTACAGAAACAGAGGAACGTGTTATATGGTATTATTGGAATACAAGCAGCAAAACCGATACTGTGGGGATGCTCTATAGGATGAATGACCCAGTTTCTTCAACAAATGAATTGCAGGGAAATAATAGGTGGTGAGATATTGTGCCTATAGTTTTACATATCAACCAATTGCAAAGTATGGACTTACTTGGTAAATAAAATTGAGATTGTTGGGAAAACATGAAAATTTGAATGCTGCCTGGATATTTAGTGATCTTAAGGAATTACTGTTAATTGTATTAGCTATGATTGTGTTACATTTTAAAAACTTACTATCTTTTATTTTTTTTTTTTTCTGAGCCTTCTATTTATTTATTTATTTTTTATTATGTTAATCCCCCAAAAACTTACTATCTTTTAAAGTAGTGGTTCTCAACGAGGTGAGATTTTGCCCTTTAGGAGACATTTGGCCATGTCTGGAGACATTTTTGGTTGTCACAACTCGGGGGTGGAGGGCAGTGCTATTAGCAGCCAGGGATACTGCTAAACCTCCCACAGTGAACAGAACAGCCCCCATAACAAAGAATTATTTGGTCAGAAGTGTCCGTAGTGCTGAGGTTGAGAAACCTTGTTTTAGAGATACATGCTGAAATATTAGTGGATAAAGTGATAGGTCTGAATTCTGCTTCAAATAATCTGGGTGGAGGCAGGAAATGGATAGGAATATTGATGGGTTGATAATTGAAGGTGAATGATGGGTATATGAGAGTTGACTTTGCTGTTTTTTCTCTTAGTAAATGTTGAGTGAGTGAGTGTGAGTGAATGAATGAATAGGAGAGACATTTTGTAGTCCTAAGTAAATGAGATGGCTTCCTAAGGGTTTAGATTACTTGGTTAATAAAGTTGTTGACTCAGCAAATGTTTCTAAACCATGTGCTAGTGTGATGGAATACTTGTGACTCAAAATACAGAGGAGGAGACAGATATTAGCCCGATAGCAGAAATAGATGTAAAACTTAGAAAAGATACATGTGCTCTGGATAGCATCAAATAAAGGAAGCTGCCCAGGCCTAGGAGGCCAGGAAGGTGTCACTGGTTAGGGAAACTTCTTGGGATGGTCTGAGATCAGCCCCTGTGGAAGAGTGAAGGCAGCAAGCCTGGCAGTGGGAGAAAACTGCATTGCAGTTACAGCAAAGGTCTCAGCCAATCCCAGGGAGCTCAGGCATAGCGATGACCCTTCATAATTTCTCCAGCTTTCTTAGTAGTTGGGAGAATGAGGGCCGTTGTCCTGAAGAGGACTTCTGGGTGACACACCACAGTATCCATCCCAGAAGTCTTTTCTGAAGAAGTAGGGATGGACCTTGCATACTGGTGGGTGAGTAGGAGTTAACTAGGCACAGAGAAAGGATTTTTTTTCCCCCTAGGTGCAGCAAGCTTTCTCCAACACGGTGCCATGGGAAGCCATTGTTGGTGTCAGCACAGAAACAGGGAGACCACTTAGGAGGCTAGTAGATGAATAGGTTGATATAAAACATTGAAATCTGGATATGAACATACAAAGGTTTAGGGAGAAAAGTCTCCTAATAACCCCAACCCTCAGAGACAACTACTATTAACGTTTTTGTGTATTTTTTTTCTGTCTTCTCTGCATATTTTATTAAAAAGCTAGGATTTTATTATAGATGTGATTTGATTTTCTGCTTTTTTCTACAGTTTTTCCTGTGCCTCTACTGTTTCTGATCACAACAGCAGTACTTGGTGTTTACACAACATTTAGGAAGTACCAGTTTTTTTTTTTTTTAAAAAGTAGTCTCTACACCCAAGTCACAACCCTGAGATCTTGATTCGCATGCTCTACTGACTGAGGCAGCCAGGCGCCCCAGAAAGTACAAATTTTAAAAAGAAAATGAAGAATACCCACAATCCCTCTTCCCCAGCTTTGTCCATGGTTGGCATCCTCCAGATTATTGGTCATGCATATCTATAGCTTGTTTTTTAAAGATTGAGTCTTTAAACATCACTTACCTGTTTCTTTTGAGATCCCTGGCTGGGAGTCAGGAGTCCTGGGTTCCAGTTCCAGGTCAGAACTTCTGTTTTCCCCTTCTATTTTCTCTATTTTTGTTTGTTTAAATACTTTCATAATAAAAAGTTAAAATATCCATATGGACTAAAATATTTATCTTTTAATATTCTGCGTAGTTCTGGTGAGAATGCAGAATGCATGCTAGGTGTCTGATAAGTGATCTTTTTCCCTCCTTTATTTGCAGATTATTGCTGTGGCAGCTTTGGTCCATCACAGCTTTGCATTAGATAAAGCACCCCCACAGCCTCCCTTCCAGTCACACTTCTGTGGTATGTATATTTTTTTAGCTGGTCTTCTAATGGCTTGATTTTAATTTTTCTTATTTTTTCTCCGGCTGTTGGATCAGTAACTTTTTTTTTTTTTTTTGATGTTTTCAAGAGTAGTTAGTACATATTGTTAAAGAAGTTTTTTTTTTTAATTTTTTGTCAGCTGTGGACACTGTTTTATTGGATTGGTGGCTCCTATTCATTTGGTTTATTTTGTTCAAGGAGCAGAAGTTGGGAGGCAGTTTGACTTTTTTTTTTTCTGTTCCAGTGGTTATTTTATTGGGGTACTCTCCTTTTTTTTTCCTAGGTCAAAATTACACTTTCACTGTTTACTTTTCATGATGTCTTTCTAAAGCTCATCATAGAAGCCTGACCAAAGTTTTCTGTGTGGTGAGGCAATATGCTAGGGCATAAATGAATGTCTGTCTATTTAGGAGGAGTTACAGTATATCAAATTAGAGTTGGGTTTGCTCTGCGTAAAATTCAGTTGGTGAAAAATGTTAAACAGAAATCTGCATGCCATAAATCAGTCTCCAAAGAGGATTCTGACCTATTCCATGGTGAGACCTTGGCCAGTTAAATAACCATTTTTTTTCTAAACAAGAAAAGGGCAGAATACTATTTATCTGTTAATGTTTCCTGAAATCTTTTCCAGCCTAGAACCAGCAGTTAGATGGGGAAGCATCTCCTGTCTGATTTTGTGGGTATTGGGAAAGTGGGACTAGGAAAACAAGCAGAGAAGGGAATACCATGTATTATTATTGTGAAGTTTCACTCTTTAAGTGGGGTGGAATATATATAACAAAAAAAATGGTGAGAATATCCTGGAAAATATGTGGAAGAGCGCAGTCATGAGCTCATCTCAACATGTATTTATTCACCTGCTCTGTGTATGTCACAGTGTGAACAGCTGTTTTGAGTGGCATGGAACTTAGGGAAGCTTTGGTCATCTTTATTTTTCTAACTTTGAGAAGGTTGGTGTTCCTTCATTGTGTACTAGTTAAGGCTTTGGTGGTGGGGGGATTCCCTTTGGGCAAGACTGTTAAACATCTTCCATTCTGACGTAGATGGATAGAAGATGTTTCATGAAAGTAGTTTTAAACAATTACAGGGACTTAGGGTTCTGTGCATGGCTATTCTTTTTTTTTTAATTTAATCTTTTAAACTTTAAAAATTGAGGTATAATTGACATGTAACATTATTTTAGTTTCAGGTGTGCAACATGACAATTTGATAATTATATGTATTGTGAAATGATCGCCACAATAAGTCTAATTAACATCTGTCATCATAGAAAATGATTTTTCTTGTGATGAGAACTTTTAAGGTTTACTCTCTTGGCAACTTTCAAACATGCAACAGTATTATTAACTATAGTCACCATGCTGTACATTACATCTCTATGACTTATTTTATAGCTGAAGTTTGCACTGTTTGACCCTCTTCACCCAGGCCCTCCTCTACCCCCACATCCCATCCCACCTCTGGCAACCATCAGTCTGTTACCTGTATCTGTGACCTCATTTTGTCTTTGTTTTTTTAGATTGCACATATCAGTGAGATCATACAGTATTTATCTTTCTATGTCTGACTTTCTTCGCTTAGCATAATGCCCTTCATGGTCTGTCCATGTTGTCACAAATGGCAAGATTTTTTCCTTATTTTTTACGGCCGAATAATAATCCATTGTATAAATATACCACTTTTTTTAATCTGTTCATCCATTGATGGGCACTTAGGTTGCTTCCATTTCCTGGCTCTTGTAGATAATTTTGCAGTGAACATGCGGGTGCAGATATCTTTTCAAGTTAGTGATTTCATTTTCTTCAAATACCCAGAAGTAGAATACCTAGATCATAGGGTATATTTATTTTTAATTTTTTGAGGAACCTCCATACTGTTTTCCACAGCGGCTGTACCAGTTTACATTCCCACTAATAGTATACAAGGGTTCACTTTACTCCACATCCTAGGCAACACTTATTATTTCTTTTTTTTCTTTTTTAAGTAGGCTCCATGCCTACTTAGTGGGACTTGGACTTACGACCCCGAGATCAAGTGTCACATGCTCTACTGACTGCGCCAGCCAGGTGCCCCTCTTGTCTTTTTGATAATAGCAATTCTGACAGGTGTGAGGTGATATCCCCATGTGGTTTTGATTTGCATTTCTTTGATAATTGCTATGTTGACCACTTTATTTTTTTATTTTTTTTAAATATTTTATTTATTTGACAGAGAGAGACACAGCGAGAGAGGGAACATAAGCAGGGGGAGTGGGAGAGGGAGAAGCAGGCTTCCCGCGGAGCGGGGAGCCCGATGCGGGGCTCGATCCCGGGACCCTGGGATCATGACCTGAGCCGAAGGCAGACGCTTAACGATTGAGCCACATAGGCGCCCCTTACATTGACCACTTTTTCATGTACCTATTGGCTATCTGTAAGTCTTCTTTGGAAAAATGTCTATTCAGAGCCTTTGCCCATTTTTTTTAAAGTAGGCTCCATGCCCACTGTGGGGCTTGAACTCACCACCCTGAAATCAAGAGTCACTTGTTCTACTGACTGAGCCAGCCAGGTGGCCCCAGCCTTTGCCCTATTTTAAATTGGATTGTTTGTTTTATTGCTATCAAGTTACAGGAGTTCTTTGTATATATTAACCTTTTATCACATATATGATTTGCAAATATTTTCTCCCATTTGTTAGGTTGCCTTTTCATTTAGTTGACGGTTTCCTTTGCTCTGCAAGAGCTTTTTATTGTGATGTAGTCCTACTTGATTATTTTTGATGCCTTTCCTTTGGTGTTAAATCCAAAAAGTCATCACCAAGACCAATGTCAGGGAGCTTACTTCCCATTTTTTTCTAAGAGTTTTATGGTTTCAAGTCCTTATATTCAAGTCTTCAGTGAATTTTCACTTAGTTTTTGTGTATGGTGTAAGATTGTGGTCCAGTTTCATTCTTTTATATGTGGCTGTCCAGTTTTCATATCACCATTTAGTAAAGAGACTGTCCTTTTCCCATTGTATAGTCATACCTCCTTTGTCATAAATTAATTGATCATATATGCATGCATTAATTTCTGGGCTCTCTGTTTTGTTCCATTGATTTAGATGTCTATTTTTATCCAAGTACCATACTGTTTTGATTACTGCAGCTTTGGAGTATAGTTTTAAATCAGGGAGCATGATACCTCCTGCTTTGTTCTTCTTTCCCAAGATTGCTTGGGCTACTTGGGGTCTTTGTGGTTCCATAATGAATTTTAGGATTGTTTGTTCTGGCTTTTCTTTGGAGGTCCAACAACATGACCAATGGAAATACTTGAACTCTTAACTTTTTAGAGATTAGAGGGTATTTATATTTATGACAGTTTACATTTGGAAACGTGTGGCATATGTGTACTTGAAATTGGACTAAGACGGTGATGGGATCTTTATTTTTTTTTCCTTCTTACAGTTGTATCTAAACCAAAGGACTGTATTTTTCCATATACTTTCAAAGAAGACATTAAGGAAAAGGTAAAGAACTCATCATTTATTCCTTTTAAATATGAAGCATCTATTTAGAAAAAGAAAAGGAGGGGTGTGGATTAGTAGAATAGGCTATTTTATATGTTAATTTATTAGATCTATTCTTGCTAGATTGGACTGTGGCATTAATCCATTCAAAATGTGTTAGAAAGATGAAAGTAGAAACATCATTTAACAATGATTTGCCACCTGAAAATAATGTGATTTTATATCTTATTAGTAGGTGGATAGGCTCAAATCCTCCTTCAGATAGCTTTCCAAAATGCATGATCATGTGATTACTGTTTTGATGCAGTGTTAGGTAGAGCCCCTTCCCCCATCCTCCAGCTTGAAGAAAGCCAAGTGAAGTTGGGAATACTGGATAATAAAGGGGACACATATTGGAAAGGTCGATATGGGCTGGCCAGAATTGATCAGCGATCTCTCAACTGCCAGTATACTCCATGGAGAAGTTTTCATGGGTCCTTAATAAAATAGGGGGTGGAAAAAAATAGTGTAATGTAGTGAGTTTGTCACAAGGTAAATGTATTCAATGTAAGGAATTTGTTTTTTGGAGAGTATGTTTCTTTTGTGAAATGTTTTTGCTCATAAATTTGTGGGTTGGTTTTGTTTTTTTAATATCCTCAGTTGACAAAATTTTAGCAAACTTGTCAGGTTCCACTTATTTTAAGTTGGCTTGAGAAGTCCAGCAGTCTGGGGGTACTGTTGGATCATGCTGTTATTTGTGAAGTGCTCTGAATTACCTGTCCAAGTAAAATGATCTCAGAAAATTCTTTTAGAGTCAAACTGATATTTGTAGCCAAGTTAGTTGTAGAAAACACATAGCTATCAACTTCCATTTTAAGAGAGTCTTAATAAGAGTGGATCTTTTGAATACCTTATTTATGTTCAGTAATCCAAGTAGAAGCCTTTTGAATGAAGATAGGTTTTATTTATACTTAAGACACCTATAATTCTTAAATGTATGTTTGTTTTCAGTCTAGTTTCTTATTTATGGGTTCTTACACCATTCTTGGAGATTAGTCTGTGTAATCCTTGGGATTTCTTTATGTGGTAAATACATAAACAACAAAGTCTACCAGGGATTATACAGGAAAGTAAGTAATGTTTTTGACAGGTACTCGGATTCATATGCTTGTTCATATGTGTCCAGATGTCCAAGTGTGTCCCTGTGGAGGGACATATCTGCACTTCATGGTGCTCAGCATTTAAAGTTTTGCTTTATTGGGGTGCCTGGGTGGCTCAGTTGTTAAGCGTCTGCCTTCAGCTCAGGTCATGGTCCCAGGGTCCTGGGATCGAGCCCCACATCGGGCTCCCTGCTCTGCGGGAAGCCTGCTTCTCCCTCTTCCACTCCCCCTGCTTGTGTTCCCTCTCTCGCTGTGTCTCTCTGTCAAATAAATAAATGAATAAATCTTTAAAAAAATAAAGTTTTGCTTTATTTACACACTTACTACTAGAATGAGCTCCTCAGAGACTTTGGGCAATTATTACTCTGAAACCTAGAATCAGCAATTTCATTGCTTCATTTAGTTTTGAAATGGATGGATTCTTTGTGGTTTTTTAAAATTTTATTTATTTATTCTGAGAGAGAGAGAGAGAGAGTGTACACATGACCGAGGGGGAGAAGGAGAGGGAGAAGCAGGGAGAGGGAGAGGCTACAAATATCAGCCCCAATGCCCAATGCGGGACTCGATCCCAGGACCGGAAGGCAGACGCTTAACCGACTAAGCCACCCAGGCGCCCCTGGATGGATTCTTTTAATTCTAAGAAATCGAACCCTGCTTGAACAAGGAGCCAAGTATAGTACTTAAAAGTAAAGAGTAAGTGACTGGTATGTTTTTATCTAACAGAATGTGAAGGTTGAGATTGCTGCAACAGAAAGAACATTGCTAGGTTTTTTCCTCGCCAAAGTTCACAAAATTGATCCTGATATCATTGTGGTGAGTAGATGTCTCATCATGCCATGGGGGAAGCTCTTCATTCCTTATTAGTTCTTTTCAGTACTTATGAGAATCTTGCAGAGAATCTTTTTTTTAATCTAGGTAAAATTGGTATATAATATGATGTTAAGTTTCAGGTGTATAGTATTATAATTTGACATCTGTATACACTACAAAGTAATGGCCACCAAGAGTCTCGTTACCATCAATCACCACCATACTCTTCACTTTTTTGCCCACCCCCCCAAGCCCCTTTCACTCTGGTAATTAGCAGTCTGTTCTCTATCAGTGAGTTTGTTTTTGTGTAGTTTTGTTTGTTCATTTGTTTTTTTACATTCCACATTTGAGTGAAATCATATGGTATTTGTGTTTCTCCGTCTGACTTACTTCACTTAACCCTCAAGGTCCATTCATATTGTTGCAAAAAGCATGATTTCATTCTTCTTTATGGCTGAGTATATTCCATTGTGTGTGCGTGTACCACATCCTCTTTATCCATTCATCCATTGATGGATAGTTTAGGTTGTTTTGATATCTTGGCTATTATAAATGAACATAGGGCTACATATCTCTTTTCAAATTAGTGTTTTCACATTCATATAAATACCCAAAGGGGAATAGCTGAATCATATTGTAGATTTATTCCTAATTTTTTGAGGAAAAAAATTTTGGGGGGGGAATCTCCAAACTGATTTCTGTAATGGCTACACCAGTTTACATTTCCACCAACAGTAGGAGAGTTCCTTTTTCTCCACATCCTCTCCACTTGTTATTTCTTGTCCTTTTGATAATAGCCATTCTAATAGGTGTTGAGGTGATTTTGATTTGCATTTCCCTCATACTTAGTGACGTTGAACATCTTTTCATGTGCCCATTGGCCATCTGTATGTCTTCTTTGGGAAAATGTCTGTTCAGGTCCTCTGCCCATTTTTTAACTGGGTTGGTTTTTTTTTTTATTGTTCAGTTTATGAGTTCTTTATATATTTTTTGAATCTTCAGAGAAGAAATGACCTTATGGACTGGTGGGAATTGCTATAGTTTCTGCTAACAGAAAGGGGGAAAAAAGAGCCAGCCCACTATAAAGTAGTTATTTTCCTCTAAGAGAAAAGCAACTCATGTTATTGTTGAAGTTTAGGATATTCCAGTTATTTCCACTTTAGAGACCAGTTAACTTGTGTTAACTGTTGGTTTCTCTAAAATTTTGGATTAGTGGTCCAGCTGTATAGTGGTCATAGGAGCTAATTCCCTTGATTTGGTGTCAGTCTCCAAAGTGTAAGTATTTTAATTTTATGAGCTGAGTGGTTCTTTTTTTAAAAAGTAATCTCTACAGCCCAGTGTGGGGCTTGAACTTCCAATCCCAAGATCAAGAGTTGCATGTTCTACCGACTGAGCCAGGCAGGTGCCCCGAGCTCAATGGATGACCTATGCTTTGAGAGGTCAGGGCTAGGAATTTTTTTCCTCTTCATAACCAAGTATATTTCCACTAGATAGGAAGAGTAATAATTCATTGAATTATGTTTGCCCTGGTTTTTAAGAGTTATAAAGCAACATTTTGCTTTATGTTTCCTCTGGCTGTGATTTATAGGCTCTTTGATATGATTTCTTCCTTTTTTTTCAGTTAATGGATCAAATTATGTTGTGCTTTTGATTGTTTTGGAGGAAAGTAGGGTATAAATTCATGTATAGCAAAAATGTGTGCTATATATTTCTCCACATTCACTTTTTGCTCTTGGACACCTTTCTTGACCAGGGTATGGCCAGAGTGCCTAGAGCCTGTAGGTTGTTATCAAGTATCTCTGCACCCGTTTCTCTTCCAGTATTCTAGGTATTATATATTTTGTTGTACATCTTGAAAGCACCAGGAAGATTTTGTCCACATGCTCTGCTTTGGTGCTCTGGCTCAGAACTAGGTCCTCACCCAGTTTTCCCTAGTAGTCTCTCTCGGGCCCCAAGGAGATGTCATGGTGCCTAGGATAGCTGGCCTGCCTTAGGGTGTTACAGCCAAGTCTGTGTGTGAGAAATCCAAACTGATCTGATGTAAGAGAGAATCCTGACACTGGTGTGAGTCCCTAATCCCAGGAATGATAATTTGGAAATGAGACTTCCTTGTGTCCTTGGGTTTCTTAATTTAATAGACAGAACTGCCATAAATATATAGTGGTACACGTTTTTAATTAAAATTAGTAGGAAATAAATCTATTTATTGATCTGATTTATTTTAAGCTTCATCTAGTTTTTTAATAAACATAGACAGTGAACCATATTATTCACATGATGGAAATTACCATTATAGACATGGAAAATTTGGTTGAGTTTTTATTTTATTTTTAAGTAGGCTCCATGCCCAGCATGGAGCCCAATGTGGTGCTTGAACTCACGACCCTGAGATCAAGATCTGAGCCGAAATCAAGAGTCAGATGCTTAACCGACTAAGCCACCAGGCGCCCGTAGTTGCATTTTTGAGATAATTTCTACTTGGTATAGTTTTGTTTCCTAATTTGAACTATCGCCTGGTATTGTGTAGTTTGTTATACATTAAGAGTCTAAATCAGTAGTGTTTGAACTCAGTTCTTTAAGAAGAAAGTAGATGCAGTTCCTGAGTTTTCTAAGAAGTCTGTATAAACTGTTACAGAACACAGGCAGATTCTCAGTTTTTAAGGAATTAAAATGGAATTACTTGAACACAGCTTTTACTGATCATGAAAAAGTATGGGACATAAAAATTTGCATTTGCCTCCGAGACTGTGAGGCATGAGCTGAAAATTAAAAGACATCATATGAACCTTGCATCAATTAGGATGAAATAAAGTTTATTCCAGCAATCTGCTTAGCAGCTTTGTTAATGTCAAGGCTAATGAATGCTGCTGATGAATACATTCCTGAAGAAGAAAGGACCCCAATCGGAGGTAAGCTCATGATGCCTTCAATTAGAGACCAGAAAAAGAAAGGGCAAAGAAATTCTGTGCATATGAAGATAAATCCTCTAATTTGTGTTTGTTATAATGTTATTGGCTGCCTTCTTTTTCTGACTAGGGTCATAATATTTATGGATTTGAACTGGAAGTGCTCCTGCAGAGAATTAATGTGTGCAAAGTTCCTCACTGGTCCAAGATAGGTCGACTGAAGCGATCCAACATGCCAAAGCTTGGGGTAAAAATAGTTTTTAAAATCTTACTTCTTGACTTCGCTTCTTTATATGGAGAGTAGCTACCTGGGAACACGCTGTGCTTCTTTGACTAAGAATTGGTTGTCTTGTAATAGGACATTTTAACTTTGGCACTAAACATCTTTTCCTTTGAATGCAACATTTTATTGGTTGAAGCCTCTGGTAGTTATTTAAAATCAGCTCTTAGAATCTAGAGATGGCACGTACATGTTACCTCCACTTCGGTGTTACCGATGCTGTAGCCCTTAGAGCAGAGTTGCAGGGCTCAGAGATCAGTAAAGTGTTATCATTCAGGACTCAGAGGGGAAGGAAGAGTGGGAGGGAGCTGACGTTGAATGTGTAAGGCAGCCACGGGCTAAGTGCCTGCACAGTAGTTGCCTGTCACAGCAACTCCAGTTTCGCTATGCTTCTCACAGGGGTGACAACTTAGTCAAGGTTGTAGGGCTAGTCTGGGGAAGAACTGAGGTTTTGAACCTGGCCTGTCTTGACTCTTTTAAAGCCTATGTATTTTTCATTCTACCTGCTTGTTTTCACTTAGGTTTCGGTGGTTTTTGTATGAAGCCACCTTCATTTCCTAAGCATGAGAGTGCTCATTGCTTGAAATCTTATTTTACTTAAAGCTTACAACTAGAATGGGCATGTTGCCTCATCAGAAAACTTAGGAATCTGGACCTTTTATGATACTCTTCAGTAGATTCTGCTGTTGCCGATTGGAGTTGGAGCCAGTGCTCTTGCTTCTTTTCCTGTTCTTACCTTTAAGGTGATAGAGCTGTTATTAACCTTCATGCCAGTGCTTGATTTACTAACTCCTTACCCCTTCTTGGTTTTCTTTATATGGCATCTTCTGAGTGAGGTCTACCATGACTACCCTGTTTAAGGTGCAGCCCCCCTAAATTCCCGTTTTCCTCACCTGTTCTACTTTTTCTCTTTTCCGTATGTTTATCGTCTCCTGAAACTATATAGTTTCTTGCTTTTGATGTCCGTTTTTTGTTGTATATTTCAGATGAGATCAGGAATCTTTTCTGTTTTGCTCACTGCTATATCCCCAGTGCTAGAGCAGTGTCAGCTACATAGTGAACATTCAGAAATATTTTTTTAAAGATTTTATTTATTTACTTGACAGAGAGAGAGAGGAGGGGGGAAAGTAAGGGGAGTAGCAGAGGAAGAGGGAGAAGCAGGCTCTCCATCTGAGCAGAGAGCCTGATGCGGGGCTCGATCTCAGGACCTGGGGACCATGACCTGAGCCGAAGGCAGACGCTTAACGGACGGAGCCACTCAGGCACCCCATACATTCAGAAATATTTGAGTGATGGCTGACTGAGTGGTGAATGGGAGATTGAGTTTCCTCATTGTAATTCTGGGCTAGCTTCAAAGCGAATTAGAACAGAATGTTCCCAGTGTCTGCTCGTCCATGGGATTTGCTTTTTGTCCTCCCCCTGTAGGGCAGGAGTGGATTTGGTGAAAGAAATGCTACCTGTGGCCGAATGATCTGTGATGTGGAAATTTCAGCAAAGGAATTGATTCGTTGTAAAAGCTACCATTTGTCTGAACTTGTTCAACAAATCCTGAGAACTGAAAGGGTTGTAATCCCGATGGAAAATGTACGAAATATGTACAGGTATGATCCTGGGTGCTTTGGAGTTTGTCTGTCTTGAAATGAGCAACAGCAGGAGGCCAGCATCGCCTTCAGGCTGGAGGGACCAGGAGTGTGTGGGATTCTGGAGGGGAACTGCCTTCATGTCAGCACCAGCATCTCTGTTACTTTAATAAATTATTTTGCCTCTTGAATTATTTTAATTTTATCAGTGTGTCTCCATCTCCCTTACTCATCCTAACCTCATCTAGATGTTTCCTAAGAGCAGTTTAGAAATTGATGTGATAGTGAGGTTTCCTTCAGGAGATAGTGTAAATCTTTTGGAAATAGAAAAACTGAGAAATCACTATGTAGAGAGATTGCTTGATTATTTCTTTTTTCCATCTTTCTTGGAGTAAAATTGACAAATAGAAATTGTATATATTTAAGGTATACAAACTGATGTTTGATAAATGTATACATTGTAAAATAATCAACATAAGCTGATTAACATATCCATCACCTCACATGGTTACTATTTCTTTTTGTCGTTACAGTACTTTAGATTTACCCTCTCAGCAAATTTCAAGTATGTGGTACAGTATTGTTAACTGTAGTTACATTGCTATATATTAGACCTCCAGAACTTAACTCATTTTGTACAACTGAACCTTTGTGCTTGATTATTTCCCAAACAGAGTTTCTTCTACTCCTCTTGCCACTTATTCTTTTCTGCCCATTCCTCCCAAGGCCTTGGACTGCTTCTCTTTCTGACTGTGCTCTTTCTAGGTGATCTCATCGAGTCTCAGGAATTTCAATACCATGTGGTGCTGATGCCTCCTGCTTGGGTATCTTTAGCTTAGATCTCTTCTTTGAATTCCAGACTCCTGTATCCACCTGCCTGTTTTACTTGATGTCTAATATGAACCTCCAACCTAACTTGTTCAGAAGCTCAGCTCCTGATCTTTTCCCCTAGGCTCCTCTTATAGTTTCTCCTTAAGAGTGACACTCTTATTTTTCCAGTACTCCTAGAAATCTCCAAAGTCATGTTTGGCCCAAAACCTTTGAGGCTTCCATGATTCCTCTTTCTGATAGATAGCTCATGTTTGAGCCATCACAGAATCCTGTCAGCTTTATCTTCAAAATATGTCTAGATTTGACCACTTCTTTTCTCCTCCATTGAACCCATCCTGGTCCATACTACCCTGCTCTTTCCCCTGGAGTAATGAGTCATATGTCAGCCTCTTTGTTGGTCTCTCTGCTTTTGCCCTTGACTCCTTGCTGTCTGTTTTCAACCTAGGAACCAGGGTTATCTTGCTAAAGTTAAGTCAGATACTGCACTCTGGTCAAAATCTTCCAGTGACTGTTTCATTTAGAGTAAAAACCAGAGTTCTTACTCTGACTTACAAGGTCCTAGACAGTGTGTATCTCTGCCTTTAACTCTGTCCTTCTGCACTCTCCATCATTCTCTCTGTTCCAGCCACAGTCTCCTTTCTGGTCCTGGAAATGCCAGATTTGTGCTCAGCTCAGAGCCTTTGAATGTGCTGTTCTCTTTGCCTGGATGCTCTTCCCTCAGATATCCATTCACAAGGATTGCCTCCTCACCTCTTCCAGTTCTTTTTTTTTTTTTTTTTAAGATTTTATTTAGTTATTTGAGAGAGAGAAAAAGAGACAGACACACACAGCACAAGCAGAGGGAGCGGCAGGCAGAAGGAGAGGGGGAAGCAGACTCCCCGCTGAGCAAGGAGCCCGATGTGGGGTTCGACGCGGGGCTCGATCCCAGGACTGTGAGATCATGACCTGAGCCAAAGGCGGATGCTCAGTCGAATGAGCCACCCAGGCGCCCCTCGGTTCTTTATTCTCTGTGAACTCTTCCCTGGTTCCCTAACTAAAATTTCAGTCTCTGCTCCTGATACTTAATATTTCCTTTGCTTCTTAATTTTTTTCTTTAACACTGAACATTATATAACCTACCATATATATGTATTTTAATTTATACTCTGTCTCCCCCCTGAGGACATAAGCCCCATGAGGACAGGTATTTTGTCTTTTGGTTACAGCCAGCATCTAGAACTATGCTTGGCACATACCCAGCATGTAACACATACTTATTAGATGGAATGAATAAAAGGATTTAGGTAGTTTTCAGGTCATAGTTAACGCATAATTTTACTTTGTATTTATGGGATTTTTTTGTGTGCGTGTTTTGGAGAAGTGCATTGGGATCAATGACATGAATGAATTCATGGTTTCATACCAGCCTTATTTTAAATTGTTTCCAAAGCCAAGGTGCCATTGCTCTGAAGTTACTCATACCAAAATTTTTTTGTAATATTTTATGAAGTTCTGATTATAGTCATTGTTTCTTTTAATTACTTGATTCTGTTTCATTCTTACTTTTCTGTACAGTGAATCTTCTCATCTGTTGTACCTGTTGGAACACACCTGGAAAGATGCCAGGTTCATTTTGCAGATCATGTGTGAGCTAAATGTTCTTCCATTAGCATTGCAGATCACTAACATCGCTGGGAACATTATGGTAAATTTAACTTAGAAAGGGGGAAAAAGCATTTCCTGTTGGATTCAGTGTTTGCTTGGGGTAGTTGTTATATGATAATGAGTCTAAATGCATGCTTATGAAATGAGTAACTTGTATTCTGGAAGCTGGTTTTCTTTTGTGAAATGAACTGGCTGCGAGAAGGGGAGGAAAGCCAGGTGCAGTATGTTGAAATTTTGGGTGAACATAAGGATCATCTCTAACATCTGGATGTGTCTGATGTGTGGAATGGTCTATTTGGGAGTAAAGAAATAGCCCAAGTAGTGTCAGTATTTTAAGCTTTCTTTGTCTCTTTTTAAGTATAATGCTGAAAGAAAACGTTAGAATGAATTTTGTACCTTCTTATTTTTAAAGCAGCCCTTATTAGGAAGAATGATTATGGAGGAGGTGCTTTGATTAAATTTACCACCTTAAAGTTGCTTTTGTTACAGATTTGAGCTCAAATTAAAAAAAATTCTATTTAATAGTCTAGGACGCTGATGGGTGGACGATCCGAGCGTAATGAGTTCTTGTTGCTTCATGCGTTTTATGAAAACAACTATATTGTGCCTGACAAGCAGATTTTCAGAAAGCCTCAGCAAAAACTGGTGGGTTCAAAACTGCATAGTGTTTTGCCTTTTTTTTTTTTTTAACCTCCCCTCCTTTTATTACCTAGATAGCTCTTTGTGCTGTGATAACTTCTGCTTCCAAAATAATTAATCTCCTGTATACTGTAGAAACCATGTCAGATTCATTCTGTTTTGTTTGTGTGGTGATTTCCTTCTTCACTTTTTTCTGTGTAGGTAAAAATTATTTGTGAAATATGAATTTCTTGAAGGGTGGTATTAAGTCTCTGATGGGCGACCATACTAGGAAAGTGTTTTGCCATCTTAGCTGTATCCAAAGTTAGATACCAGTTAAACCTTTTATTTCCTTAAATGCATGAGCCTTTATTTTTTGTTGCTTTGTTGCATTTTTATATGCTAGTAGGATCAGGTCACCACAATCAGTTTTCTGAAATGGCCTCCATGACATTGGAACTAAAACTTAGCTACCGTTTTTGTCATCATTGATAGCAGTTGACTCAAAGGGGGGAATTTAATGTTAAGACGGTTCAAATTCTTGTATTTGTTTTATGTACATTATCAAAATTGACTTCTGAGGTATTGACTATTGGTTATTAATAAACTACTTGGTGAATTTTCAGTACATGGACACTTATTTTAAGGTGTCCACGATAATGGGAATAATGATCATATCTGTAAAATATTTAATATTTCTACATCATGATTGTTAAAGTAATGAATTTAAGAGGGCTCTTTTACTGTCTTAGATTTTACATAATATGAAGCATTGTATTTTTAGTATCCATTGATTTAAAAAATAAAAGATTCTGTGAATTCAGAAATATTTTAAAGTAGAATTTGCATATTTATTAACTCAGGGATAGAGTGTTTTGGTAACTCCCATGCTTGGCATTTGGGTTTGTGAACATATTACAGTAACTGTCGTTCCCCATAGGTAGGACCACTAGCTGAAACTAAAGAATGTTTGTTAGAATTGTGTACTGCAGTTGGAAAAGGGGGAATCATAAAACTTCTCATTTAGTTAAGAAGTTTTATGCTGGCTGGTGAAGTTAACCTTTCCATTTAATATTAGGGAGATGAAGATGAAGACATAGATGGAGAGGCCAATAAATACAAGAAAGGACGTAAGAAAGCAGCTTATGCTGGAGGCTTGGTATTGGACCCTAAAGCTGGTAAGGCTGCGCAGCAGGTGGATTTGCCCCTGGTGTTAAGGAATTTTTTAATGCAGACCTAGGGTTGAGAAATTGCAAGATCTGAATTGTATTTTGTAGGTTAGCAAATAGGTCTTGTTATGACCTTATTTTTGCCTTCTGTTCATGTGAAAATCTTGTTGGCCAGTCACCTGACATGAATTAATATGAATCTTTTTTATTTTTTTGCTGTGTTCCAAGAAAGCTTTGTTTATGGATATTGAAATTTAAATTTTGTATAATTTTCATGTATCATGAGATACTCTGTTTTTAAAAATTTTTTCAACCATTTAAAGATGTAAACACTATTCTTGGCTCATGTGTGGTACAAAAAGAGGAGGGGGTAGGCTGAATTCGTTCTGCGCATAGTTTGCCAACACCTAGTCCAGTACATAGCTATTTGTCTGGTGGTAGGAGCACCTCTCTCTCCTCCTATCTATTGTAGAGGGTGGGCTGTGCCTCTGCCTGAGCTGCCAGGACTAGTTCATTTGCACAGCAGAGTTCAAGAAAGTAGACAGTAACCACCAAATTGAACTTTAACAGCAGAGTACTCCCCCTTGTCATTAATGGCAAAGAAGATGTTTTGTGGTACACAAAGCTAGAAAGGATCTTTTTTTTTAACCCTCTTCCCTATTTTTAAGGGTACAATTAAGTAGTGTTTAGTATATTTACATTGTTGTACAGGAATAATGTGAATTTTATCAAGTAACTTGAGCTCTGAGTAGGAGACGTTTTTGACAAAAGTGATTTATTATTAGTTGTATTGAAACAGATCAATAGTCCTTTGGTGTTGGATAGATCTGGGCTTAAATTCTGCCTTCCTCTTGAACCTTTGTAAGCTTCACTTTCCTCTTCTGTAAAATGGAAATAGGAATAATATCTACTCTTGAAATTAATATAGCACTGTATGTTAACTACACTAGAATTTTAAAAAAAGAGTATCTACCACACAGGGACTTAAGGAACAAAGTGATTGTTTAGTATAGTGCCTGACACAGAGTATGCTATCAATATTTGTTTGTTGTTTTTATTTTCTTAATAGTGGACATTTATTTTTACTCAGTTTCTTCTTAAGGTGAAGATAACTCTTTATAAATGTCCTAGAGAAATATAGTAGCTTTCTGTTCACCCTTTGCAAGTAAAAAGGGTGGATCGTTCCACTACTGACATTTATATACATACATCTCTTGTCTGATTTTAACACCATTTGTGTACAGGTGAGTGGGCTTCCCATTTTATTCTTAGAAAGTATGATGGTAAAAAAAATATATATAACTACTCACTGGTGTGGATCACTAAACATTTTGGGGGTCGAGGTGGCAGGGTAGGTGGGAGGGAACACTTGCCTGAAGGAGAATTTTACAACATTTTTTTGAAATGGATATGACACCTATCTGAAGTAATTGATAGGAGAAGGTGTTTGCCCATCATAATGGTGTACTTGGGGCCTGCTGTGGAAAGGATCGTTCGTTGTAGTTGGTTTCAACATAAGACACGTTCTCTTCTTTCCTCTTCTTTTGTGACTTGAGTTTTTACTCAAATACAAGGCATTTTTATGGAGTGATAGTGGACGACTTTTTTTTCTTTGGTATAACTCGCCGCTTTGGATAGTGTATCCTTTCTCATATACTTCATTCTACAGTACTTCTAATGTTATGTTTTGACAAATCTCCTTTTTTTTTTTTTTTTACCCTTTTCCCATCTGCTTTTTTTAAAAAGACTTTTTGTAATATGGCTTTTTTGTTGCAGGTTTTTATGATAAGTTTATTTTGCTCCTGGACTTCAATAGTTTGTATCCTTCCATCATTCAGGAATTCAACATTTGTTTTACAACAGTGCAAAGAGTTGCTTCAGAGACACACAAAATTACAGAGGTTTGTATTCAACTGGGGGCTCTTTAAATTGAAATTAGAAGCAGTGCTTAAAGAAGGAAGAGAGCCAGAGGGGTTAGCATTCTTGTTTTTCCTTTTAACGATATAATTTGTCCTTTTTTAGTGGTCTAAAGGGTAAAAAGTGATCAAAAAAGGGAGAGGGTTGAGTAGATGGAAACTCACAGTGGTTCTATATGTTTTTATTTCACAGTTTTATTGAGATGTAATTCACATACATTTCATGCGTTTAAGGTATACAATTTAATGGCTTTTAGTGCAGTCACTGAATTTTCAACCTTCACCACAGTCAGTTTGAGGGCATTTTCATTACTCTTCAAAGAAACCCTACCTTTTAGCTGTACCCTCCCTCTGTCCCTCCATTCCTTCCAGACCTCAGCAACCACTAATTTTTCTGCCTTTATAGATTTGTATATTTTGGACATTTCTTGTAAATGGAATCATATGTGACCTTTTGTGTCTGGCTTATTTCACTTAGCATATTGTTTTGGCTTTTTTTTTTTTTTTCAAATTTTTATTTAAGTTCTCGTTAACATATGGTGTAATGTTGGTTTCAGGAATAGAATTTAGTGATTCGTCACTTACATATAACACCCAGTGCTCAGCACAAGTTAATACCCATCACCCATTTAGCCCAGCCACTGCCCACCTCCCCTCCAGCAACCCTCAGTTTGTTCTCTATAGTTAAGAGTCTGTTTTCTGGTTTGCCCCTCTTTTCCCCCCATGTTCATCTGTTTTGTTTCTTAAATTCTACATATGAGTGAAATCATACGGTATTTGTCTTTCTCTAATTTTACTTAACATAATACACTCTAGCTCCATCCATGTTGTTGCAACTGGCAAGATTTCATTCTTTTGATGGTTGAATAATATTCTGTTGCGTATATATACCACATCCTCTTTATCCATCCATCAGTCGATGGGCATTTGGGCTCTTTCCATAGTTTGGCTATTGTTGACAATGCTGCTATAAACATCAGGGTATATGTGCCCCTTTGAATGAGTATTTGTGTATCCTTTGGGTAAGTACTTAGTAAGTGCAATTGCTGGGTTATAGGGTAGTTCTATTTTTAACTTTTTGAGGAACCACCATACTGTTTTCCAGAGTAGCTGTACCTGTTTAGCATACTGTTTTCAAGATTTGTCTGTGTTGTGCATGTATTAGTACTTCATTCCTACTTGTTGCTAAATAATTCACTGTACAAGTCTTTTATTAAATTTACTCCTAAATATTTCATTCTTTTTGATGCTATTTTAAGTGGAACTTTTATTTTTGGATTATTCATTGCTAGTGTATTGAAATATAACTGATTTTTGTATATTGATCTTATATGCTGCAACCTTGCTGAAGTCGTTTGTCACTTCTAGTATTTTTGTGGATTCCTTAGCATTTTCTACATATAGTATCCTGTTATCTGAAAATAGAGGTAGTTTTAATTCTTCCTTTATAATCTGGATGCCTTATATTTTTTCTTTTTTTGTGGTGGGAGGGGGGTACTCTAACTGCCGTGCCTGGAACCTTCAGTACAATACTGAATAGAATTGACAAGAGCAGACACCCTTGACTTGTTCCTGGTCTTAGGGGGAAAGCATCCAGTCTTTATTTCACCATTAAGTATGATGTTAACTGGGGGTTTTCCATAGATGGTGTTTATCAGATTGAGGACGTTCCCTTCTGTTCCCAGTTTGTTGCATGTTTTTTATCATGAAAGGGTGTTGGATTCTGTCAACCACTTTTTCTTTATATATTGAGATGATCATGTACTTTTTAATCCTTTATTCTTTTTTTTTTTTTTAAAGAATTGAACTTTATTTTTT